TATTAGTCTTCTTGTTTTATCTGAGACCCTTTATCTGGCCGCACGACTATAGCCGCTGTTCTGAAGCAGGATACTTTAGCTTGGGATAAGTCGTTTTGATATCTGGGCACGACTTTTCGCTGCTTCTGAAGCGGGATACACTTTAGCTCGGGATAGTCGGTTTTCCTGACGTTAGCCCCGCGCCGTCTGAAGCGACCTGAACACCTCCTAGAGCAGGAATAACTTTAGCTTCGGCGCTAAGTAGTTTTCGACCTTTTATCTGGGGGTTTATTCCGCTTTCAGGTCCGGACATGAAGTGGGATAACCCCAGTATAAATGGTCGGGATAAAAATGTCACTGACTTTAGAGCGAGCTGAAGTCGTAGATACCTTTATATACTGAGTTAGCTCCGGGTCTGAAGCGGACACCTTGAACCACCTCTAGAGCACAAGATAACTTTAGCTCTGGAGCCTAAGTATGTTTCGACCTTTTATACTGGGGGTATTACAGAATTTCAGCTCGGTTGCTTTAAGCGTGTGACTGTGAGCAGGTAAATGTAAAGAATATTTCATTGTTGTGAATAAGTACTCTAAATTTAGTAACATCATCTGAAGTTTTGTCTACTTCATGGGAGCATCCATATCACAGGTCTATGACAATAAGCGATACAAATACCTGTGTTGGATGGGCAGTAGGTTTGCGTTAGTTTCATGCCTTGTATTAATCAGCACGACACGTGAAAGCGGACGTTTCACGAAATTGTAAAACTTCTGTATGAATTGTAAAGTTCTAAATCGTAAACTACGGATTTATTTGTGGCGTAGAAGAGGCCGTGTCGTATTCGTGATTGGCTTGCAATACAAGAATCACAGCCATACATGTGCACACGCAGCCGCTCGTGTCACCTGCTCTCGCAAACATTCGGTTTTACCCCCCTCCCCCCGCAAACATTCGGTCTTACCCCCCTTTTCCCCCGACGACACTCGCACGTCACACACCGTTGAAGCCCACTTTGCGGGCCCTCGCTACATCACATTGCTCTCTGGGTACACGCTCCGTAATGACTCGTCGCATTTTCATGCGTAATTTACGCTTTGAGGCTCGACGCGGTCGGTCGTTCTGCTGCGCTGCATGGTCGTAGCAGCAGCAGCGGCGCGGGCTGGGGGTGGTGGTGGTGGGGGCGGTAATTGTGTGCCGGTTTCGACTCGGCGGTCGCCGCGACCATTGACACCGGCTGTCTCGCTGCGCCGCGTAAGCCTCCAGTCGGCAGACTGCCGCACGCAGGCGTCTGGCGCGCCGCCTAGTCTGCTACCACCGCCGTACTCGTCTGTTGCTGCCAGTGCTGCAACGACTCGTGGCTGACATGCCCACCAGACGACACGTCCTTCACAATCCGTCCGGTCTCAGCATCCCTCAGAGTTGCTGCTCCTCCAGCTAGCCCCCAATCTTGTTTGTCGAGTGCTTTTTCCACCAGACGTAAATAATTAATTGCTCGTGGGGTAATATTCTCGAGGCAGCGGAGGGCCGGTAGGATGCGGGGCGGGGTGAGGTTGCTGATGGCATCAATTTGCCGAGCGCGCGGTGGTGGTGGGGTGAGATGAAGGCTGCACTGTCTCCCTGGCTGCTTGACTGGAGCTGGTACGTACTGGGAGGTGAATGTCACATTGTGGCATCGTGGCGTGACGTTTCCTCTAGGGATCGTTAGTTCGATTAAACTTGTCACTTCGTTCGTTTGCCAGCATTCTCGTAAGGATCGATATCGATGTGCTTTTGTACATTGTTAGGGTTGGGCGATGTCTTTGGAAGTGCACGGACGCGTTGGACGTATGCATGTATGCAATGTACATAGAGTTGGCAAATATGATGATAGTATTCAGGCAGATGAATTATAGATAAGAGACTGGTGTAATGCTGAGTATGCCAAATTAAAAAAAAGATGAAGCAAAGCAAGATGTAGTAAAAGGAATGATGTGATTGTTACTATTTCTTTGCTCCTGGGGCAGATTGTAATTTGTATGCACACACGTTAACAGTCAGTCCAGCAAAGCTGCAACACATACTGTTAGCAACATATGGAATCGTAGTCAAGTGTACGTCAATAACTATCGATTAATTATTAGTGCTCATTAGTGCCTAATGTGTGTCCTACCGTAGTAGAGTTGATTAAAACTAGATTGGTGTGTAGTATGTCGTATGAGCTGTGGGTTTTGATGCTAAGAGAATACATTGTGCCAAGGACGAATGTATCTTTGAGCTAAGAAAATCTCCGGCCAACGAATGATGGCATAAATCACGGTTGGTGTGTGTGTGTCCTAGGCGTCTGATATGCAGTGTAGTGTGGATGAAGTAGAATTGATTTGGACGGGAATGATCAATGTTGTTTGACCGAGGCATGGAGGACCAGTGTGTACACTACTAACACAAGCCGTGTATGTATGCGTGCAGAAGTGTTTGCCTGGACAACCACTGATGCGTTAATGGTTTTATAGAGAAGGTGGGCTTGTCATGACGTGCGTGAGTAGATAGCCTACAGTATATATATACCTCCCACACACAGCCACTCACTATACACCAGTCTGTGCTGTTAGTGTGTCTGCTGATTACCCGGGTCCGTTGGTCACATTCGTACGCATTCATTGTAATGGTAGCCTGCTAGTCGCGTTTTAATGGCCCCCCAGTGGAAGGCCATACCTGATAGTTATGTGTACTGTAATGCAGTAAGTAGGTAAGATAATTATTGCTGGTCATTTTCAAGTGTTTACGGCTATAATAGTATTGATCTTACAGCGTGACTATGGTGATATCATCAAGAGCGCATTCATAAACCCTTTATATATCCTCGATACAATGTGAAACGCGCCGGGGGTGGCATTTAATTGTGCTGTGTTTGTAAAGTTTCCAATTTCAACTTATTGTGTAGCCTTACAGTGTGCACTGCATAGTGCTCGACATTCTGTCTATGTTGATAGGTTTCTAAACTAATATCATATTGCTTGTATGTTGGTAAGACGTTGGTGTGAAGTGTACACAGATGGTTTCTAGATTTTACCATGAATGTTTATGTTTAGGAATTCATGACTCACTCTGTCACACGTCCTACTCTGCTGTGGGTGGTAACAAAGTGACAGTGTTTCTATTGTGGCACTGACATTAAGTCAAAAGTGGCTACCAAACACAATGCTCTCCCTCTTCCTCGATTTCTCCCTCGCACTCCCTTACCCTTTCGCTCTGCAAAGGTAAGGAGAACAACGGTCACTTCAGGTGTACAGATCCTGCGATTTTGAAACACAAAAATGAAGGAGTGAACAAAATGAAAAGAGCACGAGAGAAAGTGAGTTGAAACAAAAGCAAGAAATGGTGAGAGAAGTGCGTGTGCACGTGAGAGAGAGAGGGAGAGAGACAGAGAGAAGGAGAAAGAGAGAAGGAGAAAGAGAAAAGGAGAATGAGAAAAAGAAAAGGAAAAAGAGAGAGAGAGAGAGAGCAAGCGATACAGACAGATAAACCCCGGGAGTTGAGCACTGTGTGATGAGACGGAAGGTTTTTGGGATAGAAAATCAATACCAGCATCTTTTATATGCTGTTGCTCCATTGCCTGAATAGTATAGATGTCTCTGAGTGGGTGCGTGCGTGCATGTGGGTGCGTGCGGGCATGTGGGTGCGTGTGGGCATGTGGGTGTTGCTTCTATGAAGTTTGCATGTAAATTGTGGTATTTTATGTGGAATATAGTATATATGCATTTAAGTAATGTGACTATGTCTAGTTATACCACATGTTATAACAACCCGGGTTACACATTTGTATTTACGAAATTTATTAATAGTGACCACTACTCATGATACGAACCGAAAATTCTTGCATAATCGTTCAAAGAAATGAGGTGGGGGGTTTTCTATAAAAAAATGCCGTGCTCAATTGCTCCAAATAAAATTAACGTAATAAATATATGTAGTCGGCTGCCGATACGCCAGATGGGTCGTCTTTGATGCGTGTAGTCTACAGCTATCGCATTAGTTTGACCGGCTCATGTACTATTTATGAAATGTTCCTGCAATCGACTCCCCCTCCCTCCCCCACACATCCAGTGTTTTCCGTAGGAACGCATATCCAATTACGTAGCAAAAGTGAATAGGAGAGCATAATTTTCGGCGAGTCTTGCTGTGAGCGTTACGGATTTTCGCATAACGATCGTCTATTCTGGAACACATTACTTTAATAGCGTGCAGTTATTACTGTATTGTGTATTTGTTGAAGTAGTTAAAACCAGAGAAACCAATTTGCCTGGTCGCTAAAACGGTGGGTGTTCAATTTCCAAGAGTAAATGTATGCAGACCACGCGATGTAAATGTATGCAGACGGCGCACCGTTTTAAAGGCGCACGTTTGACGACTTTGCCCATGAATGCAATCACAACGAGTTCGAATGTAAGTTGTGTCGTGGTGAAGGAATGCAGCTTTCGTTTGCGGGCGTGCGAGTAGCTGAGTACAGCGATGTGCGGCTGGTTGCCCTGCTGCACAGACACCGGGACGCAGCGGCCACCGTCGCACGTTGATTGACGCGAGCTCGTCGTCGCTGTGACGACGGGCGTCCGTCCGTTCGCGCAGACGCTGACCGTTTTCAACCTTTAACGTGTAATAAATCTATGTTTATATATAAATATATATATAACTCTATATAAGAGACTCACCGACTTACGAACATGGTCGGTTTCGAGCGGTCGTTTGTAAGTCGATTTGTTCGTAAGTCGAACATATGACAATGTACGTACGTATACAGTATTGTACAGTAGTGTAGTACATGTACGAGTAACCTAGAAGTGTACATGGTGTAAACATATACGTGAATACAGGAGTTGGAGAAAGTCAAAATCAGGGGGGTGATTGTGTCTTTTTATTCACCAATATTGACATTATACACTTATGGACATCAGGGCAAATTGTTCGTATCATCGAAAGTTTGTAAGTCGGGGAGTCTGTGTATCTATAAATCTATAAGACGTCTAACTCTCGCGCGTCTTTCGCAGAATCGCTACAGTCGACGATGGCAGACACGACACTTGAGACCACGGAAGCCAAGGATCAGCAGCAGAAGGGGGAGCAAAGCCCGGACACCCCGAGGAACGATTCGCGCCCACCTCCCACGCCTCGCTCGACTGGCGGCAAGGCGGTCACCTGCTCTGTGCGCATGCTCGACAACACCGACTTCCAAGTGCAGATCAACGTGAGTGTGCCTTGTCGCGCCACCCCTCTCTTGCCGCAGCGGCGGCGTCCTCTATCGGCCGGTTGGCGACCGTCGCAGATAGGGGTTACCCTCGATGCATCTTTTTCGACTGTTGTAATGCTATTGCGGTTGCTGGAAATACGGAAGTACGATTGCAGTGTTACTTACATACTTGAAGACTGTTGCGAGAGTGTCAAAGTCAGTGTTGAGAGGATCAAAATGAGTCGATCGCTTTCCTGTTTGTAGATAACCTTAAAAATAAAAGAGAGTTAAGTTGAGTGTCGTTCCACCTGTACCTTGCCACACTAGCACTCTGTCGTCCATGGCTTGCCTCTGTGTGTGTGATGTCTTTGACGTTATATTAGAGGTCGAAGAGCTCGACAGACTGTCTGAATACGAAGAATGTTTCGCGGTAACGACCGCAGATGCGTGGGTGAATCATCGTCATCCGTTCTTTCTCCTCCAGAAAACTGCAACGAGTCAGGACTTGTTCGACATTGTTGCGAACAGCATCAACCTAGCAGAACGCGACTACTTTGGCATCAACTACAGGGATCCGGACAAGTCTAGGGTAAGTGTCCGCACGTGCGCAACCGCCGTGGTTCGGTATACGTCGAAGATTTCGCTCCATTTCTCGTAGGGGAGCTTATATCGTCTGAAGTTTAAAATTTAGAAGGAATTTCATTTTTAAAATTATATCGTGATTGAACAGTACGTGACTTGCATCGTGCAGATATGGTGCCGCTGAGTTCTGCCTTTCAATTTTTCCTGCAAAAACTACGAGCGCATATGCATACGGACGGCGGGTCTAAAGCGAAGAGCGCACAGCGTAAAGGCGATCGATGTCCCGTTATTCACGAATGATGGTCTCTTGTCACTGCGGCGACGCGTCCAGATTTCGTTCGACGTAATCTCATCCCGGTTCTCATTTTTTCGATTGATTTTTCAGAATTGGCTGAATAATGAGAAGCGAATTTCCAAGCAAGTCCGAAGTAAGTACCAGATTCCCTAGCTCCGTATGTGCGCACACATGCACGCATACGTCCGTATGCATGCACACATGCACGCATATATGCACAGACGAGCACACACCATGAGGCATGCACGGTCTCACGCATAAACCCTCAACACGCACGACTGCACGCACACACGTGCACACGTATGCGCGCCAGCAATGGAACCTTAATTCCTCCGAATGCTGCCGGTTTTCCACGCACTACCTTTGCTAACTCAAAATAACGTTACAAGAATCGGCCGTCATTACTATTATAAAAACCTCCAGTCAGTGTCTACGTCCATTACACGTTTTAGCGCGAATTTCAAGGTAACGTGCCGAGGCTGTGATGCGGTAGAATGAGTAGGTAGTATTACATATATTCCTGCCCCGGGGCTATATCAATTTAATGCTCCAGCACCCTGGCACTAATCTAAGTTAGCAGTGCACGTATTTATATGTGAGTGTCTGTCTGTCGGTGTGAGTGGAGATGGAGTGTGCAAGCAGCATACGCCCATATCAAGCTGTAGTTGTTTGCATGGACGTAGTGTCTTGTATGCGTTGGTGTAGGTTGGCGTGTGTGGGCGTATACAAAGCGAGCGTTTGTTTGGAAGTGGCTTTCTGTGTGCGAGTGTGTGTTGTGTATGTGGGTTTGTGGTGTATTCAAGCCTATGTGTTGCTATGGAGTGGTTACGTCTCTGGCTGAACACACAAGCTTACAGGATATGCGTAGATAATTTAGAAATCTGTCCAAATCGTTGATTGTTCTTTGCAGCATAGGTTTTGCCTGTGCTGTGTGTGTGTGGGTGTGGGTGTGGGTGCGCGCGCGCCTGTGTGTGTGGCATTCCAGACTTGCATCCTAATTTGTCAAGTTAATTTGTCGATGGAAATGTGTACGTGATTGATGGAAGTGGTATAGATTCAGAGTGATGGCAACAGTAACCCCACCCCCTCACCTTTCTCAGTTCCCACAGTAAGCTTTGTTGACGGTGTGCATGCATGCGTGTGTGAGCGCCTGTCACTGTGCGTGTGTGTGCGTGCGTGCGTGCGTGCGTGTGTGCATGAGTCATAACGAGTGAGCTGGCAGCACAGCAAGCATCTTGCAATTCGTGCGTGCGTGCGTGCGTGCGTGCGTGCGTGCCACTGTGTGCGTGCGTGCGTGTGTGTGTGCGTGCGTGCGTGCGTGCGAGCGTGACGATGATGAGTGAGAGCGCGGAGATGAGCGGCGGCGCGTCTGGTTATTGTCTTGCCGCGCGCGGATGATGCTGACAGCGGGGCGGCGGCGGCTGTAGAAGGAACAGCACCGGCGTGACCTCTACAGTGCAGCGCACCACACCTCTTATAGCGCACCACACCCTCTTTGTAGTGTACACAGACAGCAGCGAAATATGCAGCTGCCTTGCAGCGACAGGTACACCACAGTGCAGTGCACCACACTGATGGTAGCATCTCTGTAGTGTACAGGTACACATCTCGCTAAACGCTTGCTCTGCTGTATAATTGATATGGCCAAGCTCAAATTTAATACCAAGATTGAGGCAAGTGCCCGTAAGCAGTGTGCGAAGCTAGTTGTTGGTAGCAGTAGCTGTCAGCAGTGTACTGTAGACATGGTAGATGTTCACTCAGACCTCCCTTAGTATCGCTTATAGGGTCTATGTTCCCCAGGATACTGCCGGAACGTACCCTGGTAACTATCTGATATGGTTAGGGTTAGGGTTAGGGAGTAGGCGTAGGCGACTCCCTAGACTCGTTAGTGGAGTAGGCGAGGTATGGTCCGGCATATTAGATAGTACCAGGGTACGTTCCGGCAGTACCCTGGGGGACATAGATTCTCTCAGCCTTAGTATTCGTCTTGTTAGCAGTAGTCTAGTCCAGCATTTCGCGTGAGGGTAGGAAAAGGATTTGCGATTTGCGGCACATGGTTTCATCTCATATCTAGAACGATGATATATACATTATACAAGCACTAATAGTAATATCAGATTCTAATGCCTCCAGGTTTTCCTCTGGCATGGTTAGCAGTGCCGCCTATGTGTTTTATTAGTTGTATAATTCGGTGCACGTTGCACCATTAATGTTACTTTCCAGTCGTTCAACGGTGCTGTAAGAGCAGCGGTAATATTGAGCAATTTATGGTCGTAAAGATTATTGCAACGAGCGTTGGTTGCGATATTAATCATGGTTTATATTTACTCACACGATTTACAGTCTCGTACAGTAGCAGACGTGGAATACTTGGCTGGCGAATGAATAGAAGGCTGAATAGCAAATAGTAACCTCTGAATGCGCGTATTGTGATGCAAATGAAGGTTCCTCGGCCTGGATGTATGACGCAAACTAGTTTTACCGCCCAGACGGTTTTGAATCATAACTGAACGATGCATGAATGAGTAATCGTTTCCCTGTGTGGCGAGGCATACATGTTGGCCAAAATTACAGTTGACTAAAGTGGAGTTAGAAAGAATATTTGCAATTCCCGCAATCGCTGCACGGATTCGGAAATTTGTCTGAAATTTTTTTGAAAAGGTTTTTGCACCCACGTTTGTTGCTGTTAGAAACAGTTCAAGATATATAATATATATATATATATACATGCTTGCTGTTTTTCCCTTACAGGTGGACCGTGGTCATTTCACTTTGAGGTCAAGTTCTACCCACCGGACCCTGCCCAGCTACAGGAGGATATAACCAGGTAATGTTTTACTCGTTATTTTTATTCTGACTGAGAGTTTCTTCCTGAATGTGGTGCATTTTGTTACGTTTTCACTGTTTCTAGTATGGGCGAACATCCTTGTTTGAATACGTTGATACGTTGAAACGCGTTTTTTAAATCCTTTTTCTAATACTTTACTAATAATAATGATGTTTGTTCATGGTTTCGATCACCGGTGAGTGTGTGTGTGCGTGCGTATGCAGAGATGCATGTATACGTAGCCAGTCATATTGACACACCTGTATCCACAGCCATTTCCACGAGACGTAGTTGTACGCGTGAGTATAGGTGATTGAGGGGGCTATGGCGTAGTGTGGCAACGAACACATACACACACAGGCGATCTAGCACGCACGCAGGATGAGCCATCACTCTCGTTGATTGCATTCGATTGCGGATGCAGCTCGGGCGCGTTAACGCCGATAGTCACGACTGGTGGGATTTTCTAGTGTGAGGGTAGACTGGTGGGTAGGCCTCGGGTGGTGCAGTGTACGGCATTACATAGAGAGCATATTGCCCACACGGTGCGCGAACTCGCTCTCTTTCAAAGTCGCTGGTTGCGCGGCACGCCCCTCCGCGATTACGCGGCGGTAATTTGCGCGATGAATTTCCCACGAGCGTTTAGAAAATTACGGCGTTATCGCGAGCGTTTCTAAATCGTTTAAAATGGCTCGCCGCACAATCAACGTTCGTTTGTTAAAACTGTCAGTGTGTGCAGCGTTTTTTGACGTATCCTTAAAAAACAGCTGTAATAGCGATTTGTAATTGCACACGCTGTATACTTTTTCATAACCCCCCACCCCCCTCAAAAAGTGTTAAAAAATGAAAGCTGTACCTGAAGCTGTTTCGTGGTAGAGCAGTGAAAAAAATACACGGGGGCTCGGGGCGATTTAGCTCCCGAAATGCCAAAAAGAGCCTCCGGAAATTTGCATCCGGAGTTCAATGCAAACCAAATTTAGAGTGCTATTTTCATGCACGCGAGCTTAAAAAGTAGCCCCCGGAAAATAAATTTTAGTTTATTTTTTCCCTGTGGTAGAGGAATGGGTTTGTCTTGGCAATGTGAAAGCTACTAGTTTGATCCCAGTAAAATCACGATAACACCTCATGATCTATCACTAAGGGTGTGCCACTACCGCATTGCATGCCGTGTGTCCGCGCGGATCCACGATGCAGCCGTCTCATTCGTGTTTTATCGTGTGTTTTGCAGATACTATCTGTGCCTCCAGGTTCGCAATGACATCCTCAGCCAGACGTAAGTAGCAACCGTAGATCTCTGTGTTTGACTTCGACCGTTCTCTTTACGTGAGACTGTCTAGTGATGTCACGATCATCGATTATACTCGATCATCGGTTGAACAGTGGCTCAAACCAAGCGCTTAGTGATGTCACGATCATCGATTATACTCGATCATCGGTTGAACAGTGGCTCAAACCAAGCGCTTGGTTATAAAAATCCATAATCGATTTCATCGAACAAGAAAACTTGGAAAAGTGATGAGAATCAGAGATATCATCGCTACTATACAAGTTATCCTTTATTAACATACATGTATTATACACACAGTACTGTAGTAAACAGTGCAAAACAAACAGTAAACAGGGCTAAACAAGCATATACATGCACACACGTACATGCACGCGACGTTACGCACACGCAGGCATTCAACACCCCGAGTAACCGCTTGGGTGCAACCGATGATCGATTACGAAATTACAACCGATTGACAACACTACTATCTCCCTAACCCTAACCGCTCCCTCGCCGCATTTCCCTTCCACCGCCCTCTTACGCGTGACTGTCCCACGAACCCTAACCACCGCTCCCTCGCCGCATTTCCTCCGTCTGCCCGCATCCTTCTTTGCGCGTGGCGGTAACGAAGCCGCGATGCAATTTTGGTAACGAGATTTTTGTCGTTTATGGTAAACCGTTCTCGTGTGCATCGTCGTGTGTTGTGTGTCGTTGTCCTCATGAGACGTTGACTGTGCATGGGTTAGGGTTGGGGGGACGTGGCCTGTGATTAAGCCTCGAGGTTGGTCACGGTCGTGGCTTCCATGATTCGGCATCCGTGGACTCTGCCATGGATGAGAGGGTCGGACGCGGCTTGTGGTTTCGGTAATTCACTCCGATCCTCTGTTGCAATTTGTCGCTACTTCCTGCATCGACAAAAAAACTAGTTGATAGATCGTCCTGGTTGCTCGGTTGCTATGACACTTGAGAATGTTGGCTCGGGGGGGGGGGGAAAGGGGAAGGTTGGCAGAGGGCTATTTTGTTATTTTGTTAGTGTTAGGTGTATGAGTGTGTGCGTGCGTCTGTGCAAGTGTAGTGAAACGTGTTGAAGATGGGAAGATTCATTATGAATGTTGATATTGTGATATTATGAATGTAACTCTGTCTACGTATTTCTGCTATCATATATAAGGATTGTAATAAATTCTCGATATATATCTGCTTGAATCACTACCGCTATCATTTACACTACAGAAAGCCCAGAGATTTCTTCTTCGACTGCATTTATATTCCCATTTCTAGCCATGTTCTAAAGTGTAGCATCACTGTACATCAGAGCTTCGTTTCTGTTATTGCCCGAGGAAGGGTCCGGTAAGTGTTGTTGCACCCACCACCTCTCTGCCAGTTAGCAGAAATGTCAAATTCATCTACACGACTCAAAAATTGGTTTTGCTTGAGAGCATTCTCTAATCATTCTCGCGATTCTAACCGTCGGCGGAACGCGATCACAAGCTGCGTCGAGCGGCGGGATTTACGGGCCGTTAAAATTCCGATGTGAAATTTGATGTTGCTGATATTGTTTTGCTAGAGTGTAATAACTTGTTGTGTCTGTAGCTTGTTAACGGTTGCAGTCATTCACAGTCACTCGATCGTGCGTAGGTTTGCAAGCCATCATCTCAACATTGCGTACATTTCTCAAACACGTTGCAGAATGCTTTCACCAAACAGAATTCTCCCTTCTGATAGGGTTCTTGTTTTTCTTCTTGTCCATGGCCATTTGTTCGTGTGACGTGCTCAGGTTTTACGAGCGGAGACAGAGGGGGGGGAGAGGAGAGAGGGAGAGTGATGAGAGAGAGAGAGAGAGAGAGAGAGAGAGAGAGAGAGAGAGAGGGGGAAGAACAGTGAGAAAAGAGGAGAGGAGAGACACAGAGAGAGAGAGAGAGGAGAGAGAGAGAGAGAGAGGAAGGATGAGAGGAGAGAGTGAAGAGAGAGAGAGAAGAGAGAGGAGAGATGAGGAGGAGAGAGAAGAGAGAGAGAGCAGGGTAGAGAGAGGAGGAGAGAGAGAGAGACGAGAAGAGAGAGAGCAGGCAGGGGAGAGAGAGAAGAGAAGAGAGAGAGAGAGGAAGAGAGAGAGAGAGCAGAGAGAGCAGACGTGAGGCAGCACCGAGAGAGAGAGAGAGAAGAGAGGAGAGAGCAGAAGAGAGGAGAGCGAGAGAGAGAGAGAGGGACGAGAGAGAGAGAAGACGCGAAGAGAGAGAGAGAGAGAGACGAGACGCAGAAGGGAGAGAGAGGAGAGAGAGAGAGAGACGAAGAGAGAGAGGACGAGAAGAAGAGAGAGAAGAGAGAGACAGAGAGAGAGAGAGAAGAGAGAGAGCCGGACCACTCAGAGGAGCAGGGAGAGAGAGAGGAGCGCAGAGAGAGCAGGAGGTAGAGAGATGAAGGAGACCGAGTAACGAGAGCAGGGAGAGAAGAGAGAGAGAGAGAGGAGAGAAGCATGGAGAGAGAGAGAGAGAGAGAGAGATGAGGCAGGAAGAGAGAGAGAGAGAAGGAGAGAGAGAGAGAGGAGAGAGCAGGCAGAGAGAGAGAGGAGAGCGGGAGAGGAGGAGCAGGGAGAGAGAGAGAGAGAGAGAGAGAGAGAGAGAGAGAGAGAGAGAGAGAGGGAGGGGGGGGGGGCTGGTGATGCTTGTAGCCAGTATGCAGCAGAAGCTAGCAGCAGTCTGTGAATGCAGGCAGCATTCTGAAGAATCGCTTTCACAAGAGCTGCAACCATTTCAGCCACTGAATGCAGCATCGCCAAAATCGCCAATCCAAATCCCCCGGCCATATTGTCGCACGGCAGGCTAGCAAATTGCTCAAGGCACCTTTCCGGTCGAGAAAAGTGTTCAAACGAGACTGCATAATCGTGCGAGTCATTGCTAGTCGGATGTTTGATTTGATCGGGGTTGTGTGCTGCGAACTGTAGACAGTGCCTTTCGGTACGACGTGCGGCGGTGGCTTATGCGCTGCAGCTGTCGCGTTCTGTAGCGAACCAGTCGTGGCTTCAATGGCGATTGATCTTTTACAGCGTCGGAACGAGGAGGAAAATAACGCTCGTTATCAATTGATGAGGTTGAAGCCCGTAGCGTGCCGAGCAAAAATAACGTTCTTTGGTGGGGTGGGGGAGGGGGTGATCACTTCCCCAGTCTCTCGATTTGTCTATGTTCGTCTGTCGTAGGAACGTACTCAGCGAGAGAGCGGTTCACCCTCTCGGAATTATAAAGAGCTTATTACCATATATTGGCTCACAGCTATGAATTTCCAAGTAGATAATGTCGTATTGATTTTCTAGCGCAGTCCCGTGGGTAGTGGTGCCACAGATAAGGCCAAAACAAAATATAGGTGTGGTTATGGTTTCCCGACCGACCCTATTTATTCCCAGCGACCCTAAACATTTTATTGTCAATTTTCTTTAAAGTCAAAAAATTAAAAATTAAATTAAAATAAATGAATTGGACAGTTCTTACTTCAAAAGGCACAACGCACATCCTTCGGACATGGTTCGTAAATAAAATATTTCAAGAAAATAAAATGTTTTCCCTACCTACCTACCCTATTTTTTTTCGGCATGTAACGGTAACCACACATATATTTTGTTTTGGCCTAAGGAGATGCTTTACAAATGTCTCGGTGCCTCTCCAGCGCAGCCGATCGCTATGGCGGTGTTGACGTGTGGCGTTCACGCAGCGATGTGTGCTGGGGTAGACACTCGGTGAATCGGGGCACGCACACGTGTGCGGAAACCCACGCACGCAGGATCCGCAGGCTGAGGCATCTAGTTTATAGCTGCGAGTGATTACACTCTCTCGCTAGCGTTGGAACGTCTAGTCGCCAAATATTTGAGGGACGACGCATCCGTCGTTTCAGCCGCCGCGTGTCAACCAGGAATCTGTTTACTTGTGCTCCTCCGTAAACCCTCGAGCAGGAGAATGAGAGTGGGAGTAGAGATAGAGTGAGGGAGAGGTGCAGATATAGATTGTGGTGGTTATAAGTACACTTTATTGTGAACAATGAATCTAGCAACATTTTTTGTTGAGCACTATAAATTCTAGCGACTTTAAAGTAACTATTGCGAGAGTTTTCCAGTGTTTTCACCACTTTCATGACACCTACCGTTATTGCTTGAGTAACAGCAATTGTCTAGAGTAACAATAAAATGTCTTAGAACCTTCGTATTCACCAAAAAAGTGCCAGTTTCGAACTACTAGTTTGGTAAACAATCGTTTGTTGTCATCTTGAAACTAGCCTGGATTAGCTAGTGGCGCCACTGCTTATCTGCCATAGACATAGTACAGGCTCTCTCAAATCATGCACTTGTTTTCAATTAATCACCGACACAAATACAAGTTTACCAATTCTTCCATTAGGCATTATCGCGACACGATAAAATGCATTGCTGTTACGATGTGTTCATATCCAATTTTCTATGCTATAACTGCATAAAATCTTGGTGTTTTTAATGTTGGTGTAATCAGTGATATTTTCGCTGTCAGGTGAGACTATATTCAGCTATAGTTAGTTTTTCTGAGCAAAAATCTCGCAATACAAACTTTATTCACGTTTTAGTATAAACAGTGAATCTAGCAACATTTTGTTGTAGAGTACCTGTAGATCGTAGCAGGTTTACGTACATTTTAGCATGAACGATGACGCTAGCGACATTTATGATACGTTCCGATGTTGGTCTTGTTAATGCAGGCGAAATGTCGGTCTGGTAGACAAGTGAACATGGATGTGTAGTAGCCGCGCCTAAGTGATAACGTCATTACGCCATCGTTTATGTGCGTTCGAGTGCGTGTTTATGCTCGCGAGCCTATTAAATCATTCACGAGCGACGCGTGCGTGCGACGACGACGACGACGACGATGATGACGCTGCGGAAATTACGCTGTTGCGTGTGTCGGGAGCGAGAGAGCGACGTCCTACCCGCCACGCACCATTACGTACCTACTGCTCGCGCGTTTGGGAGGAACACGTCCATTAACTTG